TCTCTCTCTCTCTCTCTCTCTCTCTCTCTCTCTCTCTCTCTCTCTCTCTCTCTCTCTCTCTCTCTCTCCGCTTCTTTGTGTGTGTGTGTGTGTGTGCGTGTGTGTGTGTGGTGGCGTTTCTTTAGTCGCGATGCCGAGAGCGGATATGTATGTTGAGGGGCTTCAGTTGGGATCTCAAGATTGGATCTTGTGGAAGGGCGTGAGTGGCGATCTCGACGGCGGATCTTGTTGAGCGGCGTCAGTTGTGCTCTTGACCGTGAATCTTGTGGAGGGGCTCCAGTTGCGATCTCGATAGCCAACCTTGTTGAGGGGCGTCGTCTGCGACCCCGACCGCGGATCTTGTTGAGGGGCTCCAGTTGCGATTTCGATAGCCAACCTTGTTGAGGGGCGTCGTCTGCGTCCCCGACCGCGGATCTTGTTGAGGGCCAGCTTGTCAGTTGTGATCGCTGCCGCGCGAGCGCGTGCCAGGCGCCATCTGTGAAAGTTTTTGCCCCTGTTGTGGGGTGGGGTTTTCGTTCTCCGTTCTTGCGTTTTTTCGCCATTGGCTATTGGCTATTGGCTGTAGGGTTTCGGCAGAGCATTAAAACATAACACAAGGGCGAGATGAAGACAACATCTACGATCACGGATCGCTCCTACGATCACGTGGTCAGCGTCCCGGTGGATTTCAAGACGTTCTTCCGCAACGAGTTCCGCTGCAGTCAGTTCGGACTGCAGGGCCAGCACTGGGAGAGGTTCGTCCGACCCCGATGGTACCGCGGATCTGAATCGCGATCCGATTCGCTGGGGCAGTGGGTGTTCCTGGTCCTTCGCCTGATCCTGGCCGTGTACTGGAGCGGCTGGGTGGTCAGGAGCGGGTTGGAAAACGGTCTGGGTCTCGACGACGACGGCCCGCCTTTGGGCGCCAAATGGTTCATCTACCTCACCCACTTGTCCGCTCTCTTCGAGGCCGTCTATCTTATTTTCGCATTCCTTCTTTGTCTCTTATTCACCCTCCACGTGTACCCCTCTTCCTCGGCAGCGGAGGGTCGAGGGGTTGCAGGGGGAGGGGGGGTGGTGGAAGCGGGGAGGGGAGGGGGGGGGTGTCAGTTTCTTGTAGGCGTGCCGAAGTCGGGACTCCGACCGAGCGGGGGGGATCGCCGCGGTTCTCTCGAAGAAGCCGGCGGCGGCTTCGGCGGCGATGTCGGTAACGCTTACGTTGACGAAGACGCGATGACCCTCCCCTGGTCGTTCAGGTTGACCTGGTTCTTGCGCAATGTGGAAGCTAGTTGGAGCTTCTTCGTCTTCGCGCTCTACTGGTTCCTCGTGTACGAGGGCGGCGAGGTCGATGCCCTCAACGCGCACGTGCACGGAGTCAATTTCCTAATCATGCTCCTGGACGGAGCCGTGGCTGCCATGCCGATGCGGATCTTGCACTTTTATCAGCCCGTCGGAGCGGCTGCAGCTTACTCGGGCTTTGCCGCGCTCTATTGGGCTTTCGGCGGGAGAAACGAGGAAGGGGAGCGATACATATACAAGTCGCTAAATTTTGCGGACGAACCACGGCAGGCCGTCATCCAGATCGTGCTGATTTGCCTAGTCGCCACGCCCGTTTTCCACCTCGTCTTCTGCTTGTGGAATTACATGTGGTATCGGTGGACAAGGCCGTCGGGTAGGTTCACCTTGATCCAGCGAGACGGAGTCGGCAAATAAAAAAATAAAAAAAAAAGAGTTTTTCAATTTTCAAATTTTAATTTATGTAAATTTGGCCGCCATCCTGATCGTGCTGATTTCCTTCACTTAGCAGTAGCTGAGTTCCTCTACTTAGCAGTAGCTGATTTCCTCTACTTAGCAGTATCTGAGTTCCTCTACTTCGCGCAGTAGTGGGGGGTAGGTAGTGTAAGGCAAAAAAAAAGGAATTTGAGAGAAGAATGTGGTGTAGTTTCAAAAAGCAAAAAAAAAAAACAAAAAAAAAAAAGGAAAAAAAAAGAAAGAGAGATCGTGCTGATTTGCCTACCCGTAGTTGGGGGGGCGCCCATTTTCCACCTCTTCTGCTTCGGGGATTACATGTGTGTGGTCTATTGGTTGACGATGCCCTCGGGAGCATGGTCCCACGAGCAATGGGGATTGGATTAAGATCCTGAATCTGGGCGTGTTTTAGGTAGAGATGCAGAAAAGGATTTCAATCTCGATTTTCTGCATTCGTCCACAAACGCGCCCAGATTCAGGCATTCGATCCGATCCTCTTTGCTAGTGGGACCTAACCCCCGGGTAGATAGGTTCACCTTGATCCAGCGAGACGTAGTCGGCAAATGGATTTTATTTATTTATTTATTTTTATTTTTTTTGTAATTTTAGCAGAGTTTTTTTTTTTCCTTATAGAAGTGATCTGCCCGAGGTAATTTTCATTACGACAGTAGTTTATTTCATTCCTCTTGTTCCATTATTAGGAGTCAAACTCAGGTCTGTATTTTTCAATAGTCATCTGTGTACCAACTGAGCTACCGAGAGGGGTTTTGATGATGAAGGGTCACGACAAGATCTCCTTTTGGCGAAAAAGGAAGAGCAGAAGCCGAAGGCGAAAGTTCTGCAGCAGCTTTTTAATCTACTGTTAAAAAAAAAACAAAAAAACAGGAAAGATCTTACTATATCAAAAAAAAAAAAAAAAAAAAAGGTTCTGCACCAGCTTTTCTTTTTTTTTGTCTTTTTTTTTGCGCAACGTTGGATACGCATTAGGCTTTTCTAGGTAGTGAAAGCGAGCCACCAATTCCTCTCTCTCTCTCTCTCTCTCTCTCTCTCTCTCTCTCTCTCTCTCTCTCTCTCTCTCTCTCTCTCCCTCCCTCTCTCTCTCTCTCTCTCTCGCGCGCGCGCTCGCACGCCCGCCCATGTCCACAACTCGCTGGCCTAGACCCAAAGGCCTCATCAGATATTCTACTGATCACAACGGACACTGCACTTGATTTTTTTTTTTTTTTTTGAGAAACATAGCAATTGATTTTAGCGAATAGTCCCTCTACTTTTGTGCATGTGGGATCCTTAGACCAGGGGCTAGGTCCCACTTGCACGAATTAAGAGATAGAGACCGTAGATGACCGAGATCAACGGCCGAAATCTCCTAATCCGTGCAATTTGGACCTTGCCCCGGCAAGGGATAGATTCGCCCCCTCATTACAGTCTCTTTACTTTTTTTCCCCCAATTTTTTTGGTCTCTCACCCCTAGACCGGCGAGGGATACATATATATATATTTTTTGGTGGGTGGGTGGGGGGGGGGGGTTGGTATAGATACAATTTCGTTTTCACCGAAAATCGTTTTTTTTTTTTTTTAATCGTTTTTTCGATACATGATGACAATGCTGCTTGTCTCTCTCGTTCGACCGGGCATAATTTTTCTTTGATCCTATCTTTTTCATTTTTTATATGCCCGCCTCTTTGTCGTATGATTAATGCGCTATTCGCCCCCCCCCCCCCAAAAGGAGTCCGCTTTTTTTTTTTTTTGGTCTGGACTCTGGAGTACCAACACGCTTCCCCCTTCCATATGCCCGAGGGACCCCTGATCAGCATTGATTGCTCCTCTGGAGGAGGAGGAGGAGAGGATTGACTGTCAGCTTGCCCTGCCCTCTTGTTACTCTCTCACGCTCCCACCCACGGCCTTTCTTGGCCGTTTGGCTAAAAATAGATCGAGTTGAGTATCTGTTCTGATCATCGGTTCAATATCTGATCTGCGGTCCATGGGGACACAACGATATTAAATGATTTTTTTTTCTGGGCTACCGAGGGGTCATAGGGGCAGGCTTGCCTGCCCGGTCCCTCCAGCGTCGGCTACCGAGGGCTCTGCACATCATCTATCTCAGCCTGAGCCTGTTATCTGTTAGGCTGGTGACCTTGCCCTTTAGAAACCAGTCGCCCAGGAATGTGCGTCTCTTGCTTGTTTGTCGTTCTGGTCTGTGTTTCTTTTCTTTTCTTTTCTTTTTTTTTTTTCTTTTTTTTTTTTTTCATAGAACACTGTGCATGGTTCCTTTTTTTTTTATTTTTATTTTTTTCCCCCTATCGCTCCCATTTCAAGGGATGCAGGCGAGGACCGCAGTCAGTAGAGCTTTCCGTTCGGTGTGCCCGAGTGATAGTCTGCTTTGACTTTCGGACAGCGGGCCTGGCTGCTTGGGGTAGAGTTTAGCACTCCCTGAGCAGATATGGAGTTGTGTCCTTGCAGGGTATCACTTGTGGGGCTGTCTTCGATGGTTACTCATAACTAACCGGTGTTAAAATGGATGATGACTGATACCCGTCATTGGTTAGGGGATTCTGCTGACTGTAGAGGAGGGTTCAGCCTCCTCCTGATGAGTCAGTCCGTGAGACTCCAACAAAACAGTCTGTCTGTCACAGTACCATCCTCTTCCACCCTCTCCTCCCCTTTCCTCCCCTTCTCCTTCTCCCATCCCCCCTTCTTCTCCCCCTCC